AATTAAGCCATGGTAACATTTATTGGCAATAAATATTCTCCTCTTCACTTCCTCTGCAACGTTGTTATCAGACGTAACTAGGGATCCTAAGTATGTAAAGTTTTTTACCGCCTCAATGTTGTATTCTCCTATTGTTAAATTTGGCAGCTGCCTTATTTGTGCGTTTTTATTTGCAGGCATATATTTTGTTTTTGTCTGATTGATTTTAAGACCACTATTTTTTGCAGCTCGTTCTATTTGAGTGAATGCCTCTATCATTTCTCTTCTTGATCTTGCGATTATGTCAACATCATCTGCAAATGCTAGTACTTGCACGCTTTTATTAATTATTGTTCCTCGGGTATTAACTGTTGTGTCTCTTATTATTTTTTCAAGTATGATGTTGAATAATATGCATGATAGAGCGTCTCCCTGGCGTAGTCCCTTCTTCACATCTATTGTTTCCGTTAATTCGTTTTGTATCCGGATTTTACTTTCTACTTTTAGTGTTTCTTTTATCAATTCTATTAGCTGTGTTGGTATATTAATTCTTTCATTGCTTTTGTTAGGAATTCTCGGTTTATATTGTCATATGCGCTTTCGAAGTCTATGAAGAGATGATGTGTGTCGATGTTATATTCACTTGTTTTTTCAAGGATCTGTCGCAGAACAAATATCTGGTCTATTGTTGACTTCTGTCTACAGAAGCCACATTGGTATTTGCCAACTATTTTTTCAGCGTATGGTCTAAGTCTTTCATACATTACGTTGGACATTATTTTGTATGCCGCATTCAACAGCGTGATTCCACGGTAGTTTTCACATTCTAACTGGTTTCCTTTTTTATGTAGTGGTACAATAATGCCGCTATTCCACTCCTTTGGTAGCTGTTTATTCAACCATATCTTTCTTATCAGCTCATGTATGGCTTTAAGTAATGCGTCTCCTCCTTCTTTCAGTAGCTCCGATGATATTTGATCCGATCCCGGTGATTTATTGTTCTTTAATTTGTCCACTGCTGTTCTAATCTCTGCTATTGTTGGTGGACTCTTTTCTCTGTTGTCTGCTTGGTCTAACGGTATATCAGGGTTCATCTCCGTTCTATTCACCCCAAGCTTTTCCTTAAAATGTTCTGTCCATCTTCTAAGTATCTCTTGCTGTTCTGTCAATATATTACCCTCCTTATCTTTACACATCGTTGTTCTCGGTTTGAACTCTTTCTGCTTTTGTTGAGTTTCTGGTAAAATTTTCTTGTCTCTGTTGGTTTACTTAGTTCTTGTAGTTCTTGAAGTTCTTTGTTAATATATTCTCTCTTCTTTCTTCGGTGAATTTTCTTTTCTTCTTTACGTAGTTGTTTATATTCTTCCTCTGCTTGTCGGGTTCTGTGCCTCTGTTGCATCTGTAGATATGCTCTGTTTTTTTCTTTCTGTTATAGTTTGACATTCTTCGTCAAACCAGTGATTTGTTCTTGTTCTTCTTTCTTTACCTTCCATGCCCAACACCTCTTTAGCTGTTTCTTTTATGATTTCTCTGCACTCTTCCCACTCCTCATTTAGGTTTTCATGTTTTAGTCTGTTTTCTAGTTTGATGCTTATATTTTCTTTGTACTCTCTATTTTTGTTTGTTTCTTTGAGTCCTTCTATATTGTATCGTTCATGTTTAGGGCCTCTTTCCTTTTTGATGCTTGAAATTCTAGCCCTCATCCTACTTTCGACCAGGTAGTGATCAGAATCCGCATTTGCCCCTCTTCTGGTAAGGACGTTTATTATATTCGATTGGTGTCTTGAGTCTACAATAACATGATCTATCATATTCACTGTAAGTCCGTCTGGTGATTTCCAGGTGCATTTGTGTATATCTTTTCGAGCGAGGTATGTGCTGGCAATCACCATGTTAAGTGGTTTGCTAGGTATACCAACCTATTGCCATTGTCATTTGATTGCTCATGGAGACTGTGCTTACCTATTGTGGGTTGGAATTGCTGCTCTCTTCCAACTTTTGCGTTTAAGTCTCCATAAATTATTTTTATATCACTTTTTGGGCATGACTGGTATGCGGACTCTAATTCATCATAAAACTCTTCTTTGACTTCCTCTTCTTTTTCTTCTGTGGGGGCATGCGCATTAATTAGGCTGTAGTTGAAGAAACGTCCTTTAATTCTTAAAATACACATTCTGGGACTGATGGCTTTGGGACTAATTTGATTTTAGCCTTATATAAATACATTTATACTCTTCTTTGATAGCTGCTTCTTCATTATCATTATCGTTTTGGCCTTTTGTTCGTTGAACTGGTAGTTATATTTATTGGCTTTGATCTTGATCTGCATTTAATATGATTTTGAAATATTTTTCATCAATAGATTTCTGTCTTCAACACCTTAGTGGTGAACTTAGTGGGCTGTTAGGCTGGGTTCGTTCCCGTTTTACTTTTATATTTCTTCATAGAAGTTCCTGATTTATTTATTTTTATATTATTCTTCGATATAGCTTGACTGGCATTCTTCTTGTACAATTTGGGTACAAAAATGGGAAATACAAGCGCAAGATCGTAGAGGATGTAGGGCGATAGTGGATACGGCGAAGACTCACTCCGAGTTGTAAAGCCAGTGAAGAAGAAGAAGAAGGTTGTCAGCCTCTAGCCCAACCCTCACCCTGGAAGGCCAGAGACTCTTTTGTTAGGGTTGCCATACCTTAGTCTGTTTTGGTTCGCGGTTGGTATTTTGATTTCCCAACTACCCACCGTCCTATGGGAGACAGACAACTCCCCACAGATGCATGTAACTTTACAGACATCAATATCTATGTGCCAAACATTTCATTGTCCAATCATATTATTCGGTTTCTAATCTTTTTGACAGTTGAGTTTTTATGTTATAATTTTTTTTATTTTCTCGAGCTTGCCAGTATTGTGGTTTCATTGCCACCATTGATTGTTTATACATATATTCTGATATGTATGTCAACAATATTGATATCAGCATATATATAGTCCCAAGATTCCTAAGAGGAACATAGGGCTTCCACAAAGTGTCTCCAGCGAACTCTATTTCTGGCTAGTGCTTTGATTTCAAGCCAGGATTTTCCCATTTTTCTCCCTTCGTAGAGTACTGTCCTACTCCAAGTTCCCTTAGGTCTGCCTACTTTCCGTCGGCCTTGGGGATTCCAATCCAGCGCTGTCCTGGCAATGTCATTTGGCGGTCTATGGAGTGTGTGGCCCAGCCATCTCCATTTTCTTCGCCTTATTTGCTTTATGACATTTTCTTGGTTGCTTTGGTTCCATAAATTTTCATTGGAGATTCGGTTAGGCCAAAATATACGAAGGATTTTTCGTAACGCTCTATTGATGAAAACTTGTAATTGGTGTACTATGGGTCCTGATATCTTCCACGTTTCGCAGCCATACAGTAATACAGCTTTTACATTTGTGTTGAAGATTTTTAATTTATTTCGTTTTAGTTGGGTAAATCCTGGATTACCATATGTTGTTAAGCATGTTGTAGGCGTTGCGAGCCTTATTTATTCTTTCATGTACATCACGCTCTGTACCCCCATTACAGTAAATTATGCTGCCCAGATATACAAATTCCGTTACTCTCTCAATTTTCTGGTCGTTGATCATAATAGGTTGGTTGTTTCTGGTACCAAATCGCATTTCTTTGGTTTTGTTGATGTTTATTTCTAGACCAACCTTCTTTGATTCTTCTTGTACTTTGTTTACTTGGAGTTGCATGTCCTGTTTTGTATGTGCTAGGAGGCATATATCATCAGCGTAATCTAGGTCTTCCAGTCTGTTTGTTAATCCCCAGTAAATTCCTCTATTAGAGTTTACCTTTGTTAGTACGGAGTCCAGTACAATGTTAAATAGTATGGGGGATAAAACACAGCCCTGCTTTACTCCGTTTAGCATAGCTATTGGGTCAGATGTTATGCCGTTGTGTAGGATTTTGCTTTCTGTGTCACTGTAGAGTTCTTTGATGAGATTTACTATTTTTTCTGGTATTCCTATTTCCTGCAGTGCTTTCCATATGGCCGTATGTGTGAGCGTGTCAAAAGCTCTCTTGAAGTCCACAAAGCACACAATCACATGATATCAGCATAAGCAAGGATTTTCACTAATTGAACAGGGGATTATACAGAAGAGAGGCAGCCTGTTATTTGTTTTAGAAGTTTGAGACAGTTCCCTCTGGATTTGTACACTACAATTAACTTTTTCAAGAGTTAGTTTTTTAAACTTACCAACTGATTTGATACTTCTAGGCTAGTAATTGTTCTTTTACTATAAATTTCTCCGCACCGACCTACTTAACAGTGAATTGGTACTGGAATTCCCAGCTTTGGCCCTCCGACATGCCAAAATTTATGATTTACACCGCCCATAATCAGTAGAAAGAGCTTAGTGAGGAGTTACCACTGGAATATGATTTTCTTAGTAAGGCAGAACAAGTTTTTTTGCTACACCATTAAACTCGCTAGGCGTTCTTTTACTGCATTATTGTCTCCCGTTTTTCTTAAATCCTTCAGTTTTATTTCATTTAGAAGTGCAAGAAACAACTAGAAAGTTAAACATATATTTCATGAAACAGCATCGGTTGCCGGAAAACTCACAAACATGAAAAATAAGTAGAAGAAAACGGCTCAATCTGCAAAATATTTAAACCATAATAATTACGATTATCTTATATTGCAAGTTCAGCAATTTCTCAAAACTAATTTTCATTTTAAATTTACTTTGGTATTGTGGACCGTTCGTTGACTTTTCTACATATTTTTTTTTTAATCTTGATCTATTTGTTAAGTTTTTGTTAGTATTTCTGTGCATAATACGGATCGTATTAACACAATAATTGCTTTGCGTAGTTATGGATCACTGTCCAAGCCGAAATCGTGCCTTGTCCAACGTTCTATGTCCCTCTTGGAATCCCGATGTCATTCTTTAGCTACTCCCAAGCAAACTCGCACTAGGCAAGAAAATGCATAGCATAAGCGTGACAAAAAATACTTTGAATTGCTTCTTTTCAGGTCCAGGGCAGTTCTACAACCAACAAACCCAAAAAGCCAATGTTCACCACAACCGAACACAGGAGTAATCAATGCCGAAGACAGGGTTACTTTAGTGGTGGATAATACTAGATTCGTCGTAGATCCAACAATATTTACGGCCCATCCAAATACGATGCTCGGTCGGATGTTTAGCTCTTCGTTGGAGTTCACCCACACTAATGAAAGAGGCGAGTACGAGGTTGCTGATGGTATACCTGCTTCTGTATTTAGGGCTATTTTAGAATATTATAAGGGAGGTCTCATTAAGTGCCCACCGTCGGTTTCTGTACAGGAGCTGCGAGAAGCTTGTGATTATTTACTAGTACCATTCGACGCTAATACTGTTAAATGCCAAAATTTACGTAAGTATCAAAATTTTTTAATGTACTGGAAGTGTATTCGAAATAAAAAATTGTAATGTACCGGGTGGTCCAATAAGCCGATCTCTCAGCTATATATCAGAAACTATTCATGTTATAACTTTACCAGAAAAAATTCCTTAGTAAAAGTGGCCAAGAGAAATCGCTGGAAATAACTTTCAAGATTCTGGATTAACCGCTAGGGGGCGTAACCTGCGAAGAAAATTTTGAAAACCAGTTTTTTGGGAAATATGTCCAATTATACCAAGTGTTAAATAAGTAAACTAGAAAGAGGCATAAATTCTGCACAAAGTTGTTCAAGTACTTTTTTTTATTTTTTCAAATAAAGGGTGGGGGAGAGTGGGAAAGTATTTGTGGATAAATACCTATAACTTTGGTTTGGATCAACCGATTTTAACAAAATTAGTGTCATTAGAAAGAGTATGGATGAATTAATTTACATCTACTATAAAATAATTGCATTTAGTTTTAATTGTCGTAGGTAGAGGGTACTTTCGAATAGAAAAAATTAAAATTTGTTTTTCTTCAAAATTTTTAATGGAAACACCTATTTATTGTAAATTATAATGGAACTGGATTAAATTCGTAACAAAATGGCGCAAACCGCATGTTAATAGCTTTTATCGAACTCGAGATATGAATAAAAACGCATAAACATAAGTAAGTATAGTATTGACACACCCTGTATTATAAAATAAATTAAAAAATAAGTCAGTAGGTACTTTCAAAATTTTTTATAGCAGAAAACTCTTAATGTTGATACCTATTTTGACCATTGTTATTTCATATGATTAAAAATTGTTTTTTCGAAACTAAGTAGGCTACGACAATGAATTTGACAGGGAGTTCATATTGTTTATTTATTGACAGCAGTCAAAATATTGTTAAGAAGTGTTATATGTATTATAATTCGAATTGAAAATTGCATTTTTTTCAATAGATATTAATATTGGTAATATTAGTAATTAATTATCAGTACTAATAATTCGTGATGAGTATATCAAATTGTATGATATGATTGGAGTTTATTTCGAATATCACCAAAATGGCGCTATTGCCTCACGTATATATTCTGTAAGATATCCTGGCAGGAGATATTGTGGCAAAGAAGTAGAGATTTCGGACTACTTATATGTGGATTCTGTTGAATTAAAGCAAGAACATTGATTGAATTATCTTCGGTCATAACTCTACTACGTCGTTTAAAACAAGGACGAGAAAAACTACCAGTTTCTCTTAATCTTTTTGCCTTTCTTTCAAATACTTCTTTGCCATAATGTCTCCTGTCACGATATCTTACAAAATATATACGTGAGGCAATAGCGGCATTTTGGTGACATTCGAAATAAACTCCAATCATATCATACAATTTGATATACTCATCACGAATTATTTGTACTGATAATTAATTACTAATATTACCAATATTAATATCTATTGAAAAAAGTGCAATCTTTAATTCGAATTATAATATAGCACTTCTTAACAATGTTTTGACTGCTGTCAATAAATAAACAATATGAACTCCCCGTCAAATTCATTGTCGTAGCCTACTTAGTTTCGAAAAAACTATTTTTTACAAAATAGGTATCAACATTAAGATTCTTCTGCTATAAAAAAATTAGAAAATACCTACTGACTTATTTTTTAATGTAATTTATAATACAGGGTGTGTCAATACTATACTTACTTATGTTTATGAGTTTTTATTCATATCTCGAGTTCAACAAAAGCTATTAACATGCGGTTTGCTCCATTTTGTTACGAATTTATTCCAGTTCCATTATAATTTACAATAAATAGGTGTTTCCATTAAAAATTTTGAAGAAAAACAAATTTTAATTTTTTTTATTTGAAAGTCCCCTCTACCTACGACTATGAAAACTAAATGCAAGTATTTTATAGTAGATGTGAATTAATTCATCCACACTCTTTCTAATGACACTAATTTCATTAAAATCGGTTGGACCAAACCAAAGTTATAGGTATTTATCCACAAATACTTTCCCACTCTCCCCCACCCTTTATTTGAAAAAATAAAAAAAAGTACTTGAACAACTTTTTGCAGAATTTATGCCCCTTTCTAGTTTACTTATTTAACACTTGGTATAATTGGACATATTTCCCAAAAAACTGGTTTTCAAAATTTTCTTCGCAGGTTACGCCCCCTAGCGGTTAATCCAGAATCTTGAAAGTTATTTCCAGCGATTTCTCTTGGCCACTTTTACTAAGGAATTTTTTCTCCTAAAGTTATAACATGAATAGTTTCTGATATATAGCCGAGAGATCGGCTTATTGGACCACCCGGTACATATCTCCTCCTATTATCATCTCCATTGAGGTTAGAGACCACTATCGCAAAGTCTTCTCTAATGTGAACTTGGTGTATGAGAGCGTTTTCTTCAGTTCTAGTCGTTTCTTATATTCCTGATTCACCATTTCTTCTCACTTCCTACACCATGCTTTCCTTCAATCCTTCTGTATAGCCACATTTCAAATGTGTTTACCTTGTTGATGTCGCCTTGCTTGAGTTTCGCAGCCATACAGAAGCAGGGACCATATATAACATCTTAGTGTTCTCAGTCTTATTGGTATGGCCAATTTTAGGTTGCAAAGTTGCAAAATATGTTTCTCATGTGGTGATTTCAATTCTTCTGTACATTTTTTTTGAATGTTCTAGTTGGCAATGTATTTGGTCTACCCAGACATGCATTTTTAATCGGTTTGCAGATTGATTCCATTGACACATTGAAGGTATTTCTTTTGAGTCGTTCACAACATTCATGGTTATATTTAGATTTCTTGCTTTTTTTTATTTTCTCTCATTTCCCATGCAGGGCCGAGCCTAGAGGCCTGCATTCGTAATACACTGTTATTTCTAATTTATTTATTTAGCGTATGGCTACATCACAGGTTCATATAAATATAAATATATAAATTATATAAATTACAAACAACAGTAAATATAAAAATATTATTCTACAAACAAACATCTAGATTATAAATATATTCGATTGACTCTTTTGTAGCAGCCAGGAAATCTGAAGGGTTGCCATTATAGGATCTAATCGGGCATTCCTCTACCATGTGTTTTACTGTTTGCCTTTCGGCGCCGCAGTCGCAATTTGGTGATTGTATTTTTCCCCATCTAAAAAGTGAGTCGGAACATCTGCCACAGTTCGTCCTTATTCTATTGAGTGTGGTCCAAATTCGTCTCGGTTGGTTGAAGCCCTCAGGTTTGCTTGTAATACATGGCATGTTCCAGTTAGCTGGTGCAGCGTTATTCTCCCATTGTTCTCTCCACCGTTCAGTTACATTAAAGTTTTGATCTACTAGCCTTTTTGCTGTTTTTAGAGGCGGGTGTCTTGAACGGAGCCTATTTATGTCTCTGGCGGAAGTTCCGACATGGGAGCGGAGCTCAGGATCAGTATTGATTTTTGTAAATTCTCTGACAAGGGCATGTTCCCGGCGGATGGGTGGTGGAGCTATATGACTCAAAGCTGGTAACCAGTAAGTGGGCGTGGCCTTGATTGTGCCCGATATAGTTCGCATGGCTTGGTTGAGTTGGACATCAACACGGTGAGTATGTGGACTGTTTATCCATACTGGTGCACAGTATTCCGCTACGGGGTATACCAGTCCTAATGCTGTCGATCTAAGTGTGGGTGCTGAGGAGCCCCATGTAGTGCCGCAGAGCTTTTGCAGGATGTTGTTACGAGTTCGGAGTTTTGCAGCAGTCTTAGTAAGATGCTCTTTAAAGTTCAGCGTTCTGTCAAGTGTAACACCTAAGTATTTTGGGTGTTTATTATATTTAAGGAGTCTATCCCCAAAATTGATTTGAGGTTGATAGTTGGCCATCTTGTTATATAAATGGAAGCAGGACACTTCTGTCTTAGTTGGATTGGGTTGCAATCTCCATTTTCGGAAATAATTCCCTAGGGCATTTAAATCGTTTGTTAGAATGCGTTCAGTGACCTCGAATTCTTTATGACTTGCGGCAAGCGTCCAGTCGTCTGCGTATCCAAACTTTTTTGATGTGGTTTCTGGCATGTCTGCTATATAGAGGCTGAAAAGCAAGGGGGCCAGCACGGATCCTTGTGGAAGTCCATTATTCAGTTTTCTTTGGGTACTAGTCTTGTCTCCCAATATAACTTTAAAGCATCTGTTGGATAGCATGGCGTTAATAACCTCAGTGGTCTTTCTGCATGGGATTATTCGCATTAATTTATATATTGCCCCTTGTCGCCACACAGTGTCATAAGCAGCAGATAGATCGATGAAGACAGCGGTTGTTTTTGATTGCTTTTGAAAGTTTGATTCCACATAATTGGTCAGGGCGAGTACCTGGTCTGTGCAGCTGCGGTTTGGCCGAAATCCTGCCTGTTCCACTGGTAAGTGTTGGAATATGGTTTTGCTGATTCTATTATACAACAGTCTTTCGAACAATTTGTACACCATACTTAAGAGTGCGATGGGGCGGTAGTTTTTCGGTGAATTATTACTTTTCCCTGGTTTTAAAATGGCGACGATTTTTGCATTTTTGAGTTGGTGGGGGACGTTTCCCGTTTGAAGGATGTCAGAAAAGAATTCTGCGAGCCATTGCCTAGTGAATCTGCCGCTATGTTTGAGGAACTCAGCGTGAATAGCGTCGAAACCCGGCGCTTTTCCTGTTTTCATTTCATTTAGGGCTTGCGATATTTCTTCATGCGTAAATGGGTTGGAATATTCTGTTGACTGTGCAAGACTAGATTTTATGGTTTTGAGGTCTTTTTTAACTTTAATTGTATGTAAACGATTTTGAGGTGCCCTAGAGGTTGACACTATGTGCGTAGCTATTTGGTCTGGAGTTACTAGGTTGGTTTGGCGAACGGGTGGGTTGCTACTTCCGAGTTTCCGCAGTAGGGACCAAGCTTGTCGACTTGACTTCTGGAAGTCTAGGTTTTCTACTGTCTGTGTCCATTTTTCACGCCTGGCAGCATCAATGCTGTGGAGTAGTTCGTCTGCAATCTCCTGCTTTCCATCTTCGCAATATTCTTCATACAGTTTTTCGCTCTGTTCTGTCCAACCAGGGATATATTCTTTGCGGTATCCTCTAGGGATTGTCGCTTTTGCTGAGGTGATTATTGCTCCTGTTAGTCTCCCGTAGTTCTGGCTCTTTGGTGGAATCCATCCTAGGCATTTGTCAAGGTTACTGGTGAAAGCAGACCAGTTAGCTTTCTTGAAGTTCCATCTGGGTCGTGGGAACGATCTTATAATCGGAATGCTGATACCGATCTTGATTAGGACGGGGCGATGTTGACTATGTGGAAAGTCAGACATAACCCTTCGTGATGCTGCTAGCGGTTGGCCTTTGTTGTCAATGGTAACAAAACAGAGATCAGGGTTATATTCTCTCCTCCAGGCCGCAGATCTGAAAGTGCCTCTATCTTTGGCGTCAAATAGAAGGTGGGCACCATGTTCCTCTGCCCATTCCACAAGGGATGTGCCATTTCTGTCAGTGTCTGAGTATTTCCACATCTCATGGTGGCTGTTGAAATCACCTACGTATATGGCTGGATGTTCATAGGAATTAAGAACTTGGACAGGCCAGGTAATAGCAGGAGGTTTGTATATGTTAGCTATTATGACATTGCCTATTTTCACAGTTACCTCGTGGATGTTGTTCTCGGTAGAAGTGGCGATTAATGCTGCATTTTCTATGTTTGAACGGACATATGTTGCCACTCCGTAAGCTCTATCGTAGGTAGCGCCCAAAAGATCATAGCCGGGGATTTTTCCTCTTGAGCTTAGTTGACCTTCGTTTTCTGTGTGCGTTTCCTGAAGTGCTACTAGGTCAACTTCGTTGTCTTTTAAAAGTCTGTGCAGGATTTGACATTTTGCCCTGCTTATGCCTTCTATGTTAAAATGGCAAACTCGTATGCTTGGTCCGAGTTCTTTGGTCAAATGGTCCTGATAAGGTCCGTTTACAAGTGTCATTTCTGGAAAGATTTTCTGTGATGATTGAATTGCCAGGAGATTCAAGATTGTCTGGCGCCTTTTGTGCTAGTTCATTTAGCGTTACCCAGGGTGCACGTGTAGTGTTCTACTACGGACGCGAACTAGCTTTACACCCCGTTATTTCTAATAACTCCGGTAAATTAAAAGCGTTATTTTAATGTTTTATATACTTTTGAATATAGGTGGACTGTTACATGAGCTTTCCAATGAAGGAGCCAGATGCCAATTCGAAGTATTTCTCGAGAAACTCATACTGCCTTTGATGGTAAACTCTGCCCAGAGGGGTGATAGGGAATGCCATATCGTGGTACTGCTGGATGACGATTCAGTAGACTGGGACGAAGAATATCCACCGCAGATGGGCGAAGAATATAGCCAGACAGTTAATAGCACTGCAATGTACAGGTTCTTCAAGTATATAGAAAACAGGGATGTGGCTAAACAGGTGTTGAAAGATAGAGGATTGAAGAAAATACGGCTTGGAATAGAAGGTACGTATTTAAAACAACGTGTTAATTTCTTGGATAATTAGATAAACAATTATTAATTCGTTTTTATACAGAGTTTTTGATAATTATTTGGAAATTTGTTTATGCATGCATTTTATGTACAGGATGACGCAAGGTTCGATCCTCTAGCGATGATAAATGTTGTCTATACAATTTTAAATATGAGGTAGGTTAAGTGGCGGATCATTTTAAAGGGCGTTTAATTTTCTCTCCAATAGTAGCTTAATCGAATACTTTTTGCTCAGACGTTACCAAAAAACTAGCTTTGAAATTTTACAATATTATTTTTTTTTTTTTTTTATAAATGGCTGTTTAAATATTATTGTTCAAAATAATAGACATTAATTTGCTAAAATATGCGTATGAAATAAGTTTGTTTACACGGTATCTCTTCACATGTATACAGTGTAGGTGTAGGTAAAAGTTTATGGTCGGTATGGTAAAATTTAACAGGATATCCAACACAGATATAAAATCATATTTTCAGCGAATAGACAAAGATAACAATCATATTTCCCCTTGGTTTCCTCTCCATAAATCTTATTAACGCCCATTGCCCATAGTGAGACGATTAGTTCTGATCAGATATATTTTACATATCTCTGGTTCCGATCCTAATATAGCTAAGAAACTAGAGATAGGTCGTTGAAATTTTTATCGGAACCGATTTTCGTAAACCGTAACTAGTTGATTGTTTACCAGTATTCAAATAAGCGAGTACACCAACATATTGACTATTATCATTTATGTGTATAAGTATTAAAGTGAAAGAAACTAACGAAGGATATATTTATTATATCTTGAAAAATAAATTAAACAATACAAATAGTACTTACATTTACATTACACATTATTAAATCGCGAATCGTCTAAATTGACATTTAAAAACATAAGTTTTTCCACTCTTCTTGTTAACCGTGTTCTTCTTTTATTTAAAATTAAACCAGATTTTTAACATGTGTTCAAAAGGAACAGATTTTATTACAATACTACAATATTTTATGAATATAGTGGTTAAGTTTGGATATACATGTCGACTTCTTTTATATCTCTCGATAAAGGTGTATGTTTGGATGAGTCATGTCCAATCAATTCATCAAAAATACACCATGGACTTAGTCATCTTTATCAGTTTCTTTTTCTTGTACTGATTGATTTTCAATAGTACAATCTTCTTTTTCTTTTTTTTTTTTATATAAGTAACCAGCTTCTTAACTCTTTCTTTTGTTTTTTATAACTAGGTATTCTGATTAATGAATGAGTTTCGATTTACTATTGATCTGCATTTTCGATTTCAAATCTTTATTGATAGTTCGTCAAAGGATTTATTTATTGTAAATATTCAATTAGAAATTCTTTTTCTTAGTTAAAATTATTGACATAGTATAAGAATAATAATTTTATTTTCAAAAAATGCACATTTGTCGAAGATGCAGCTTTTATGGTCCACTTTCTGAATATTGCAATGATTGAAACTTCTCCTGACGCATTTCTAACCGTTTCGAGTCCTTCTACTACAAGTACTGACATACTGCCACCGCCACCCAAGCATCAAAAGGTGATGGATACTTCCATTAATAAAAAATTAGTTTAGCACAAAAGGAACAAATAGATATGGATTTACTAAATTTATGCAAAGTTTTCCATAGTTGAAGAACGAGCATTTAAAAAGTTTGCAGGGTGGATTCCTGGATATAAACCGCCAACAAGAAAAACTTTGTCAGGTCCATTACTTCAGGAATGTTATATCAAAACTGAGCAAGTTATTAGATCACAAGTTGTTAAAGAAGTAGAAAATATCTATATTACTACTGACCTCTGGACATCTGGAGTAACTGAGAGTTACATCGCATTAACAGGACAGTATTTAACCGAAAATTTAGAATTTAAAACGGTTTTATTAGGCTGCTGCCATTTTTCTGGAAACCATAATTCAGAAAACATCGCTTTTGAAATTAGTGAAATTAGTAATCAGTGGGGTCTAAAACGAAAAGTAAATTTTGCAATAACTGATAATGCCTCAAATATGGTCAAAGCTATTAAAAATGTTTTGGAATGAAAACATTTAAATTGTTTTGCTTATACGTTAAATTTATTGGTGGAGGACGCACTTAAATGCTATCGTGTACAAATAGATAAAATAAAAAGTCCTTTTTTCGACAATTCGGCAAAAAACACATTTCAAAAAAAGTACTTTATCTTCAGAAAGGCTTTTAAAGTATCAATTATAACATAACAAAGTTCCCAAACGGACAATCCAAGACGTGGAAACTAGATAGAACTTCACCTATTACATGTTAAAAAGAATGACCGAGTTAGAAGAGGCAATCCGTTCCACATTGGTATTAGTTAATACAGACTTAGACCAAATCTAAATAAAGAACACTGGATTATTTGTTCTCAACTTTCCCAAATTTAACCGGCCTTTTAAAGAAATAACAAGTACAATGAGTGGCCAAAAATACTTAAAGGGTAGTTCAGTGATTGTTATGGTACGCTGCCTGCAAGAATCTTGCAATAAAAGTTTAGCAAACGGTAACTTTACATCCATAGTATCCGACGTAGTACAATTACTAATATCAGGTTTAGCAAAAAGATTTAGAGGGATAGAATAGAGTGGCACATTGTCATTATATACATTTATGGATTCACTATTTAAAGTGCAAGGTTTTTCTGATAAAAATGAAGCTAAAAAAAAACAAAAGAAAGAGTTAAGAAGCTGGTTACTTATATAATTAAAGAACAAGAAGATTGTACTATTGAAAAACCATCTCCATGTATATCCTAACTTAACCAAAATCTGGTTTTAATTTTAAATAAAAAAAGAATACGGTTAACAAGAAGTAAAGTAGAAAAACTTATATTTTTAAATGTCATTTTAGACGATTCGCCATTTAATAATAACGTGTAATGTAAACGTAAGTACGATTTACTATTTGTATTGTTTAGTTTATTTTTTAAGTTATAATAAATATATCATTAGTTTCTTTCACTTCAATAAATATACACGTAAACGATAATAGCCATTATGTTTGTTTATTAAGGTACTCTCTTACTTGAAACTACTTTTTTGAAAACAATCATAGTTATATGTTTACTAAAATCGGTTTAGTTGCATTAAGAACGTAGGCAGAAAATTTCAGGCCAATGCTTTTTAAATACAATAATTTTTTTTGGAATACTGAGAAAACTAACAAATATTTTTGAAAAATTTAAACGCAGAATGAAAGGTTACATTATTACCGAGGGCCGAAGATATTTGAAATTAAAAATCTCACTAAATTTTCTCTTTTTTACCCCTGTAACTTATTAAAATAAACATTATAGAAGTTTTCAGGGACTTTCGACCCTCGGTAAAAATGTATTATTTTATTCTACGTTTAAATTTTTCAAAAATATTTATTAGTTTTCTCAGGATTCGAAAAAAATGGATGCATTTAAAAAGCATTGTTCCGAAATTTTGCGACTACACTCTTAACGATAAAAACGTCAACTACCCACCTCTACTACTCGCTACCCTACTTTGATTCGGTGCTTTGGCCAGACAGACGTTGCCAAATAAATTTGTATGAAGATTTTTTAATGTGGCGTTATTGTATGCAGTTTTTTATTTTATATTGGGAATAAGGCACAATGTGACTTTAAAATACGAATATTAAAAATCAGAAGATGGCAACATGTTGCCAAAAACCGAACAGAATGGCGACGAATCTTAGAGCAGGCCAAGATCCACAGAGGATTGTCGAGCCAAAGATGATGATGATGGTGACTTTAAAATAAGTTTATTTTGATGTTTAAATTTTTAATTCGGAAATCGCACTTAAAATACGAAACATCAATAAATTTTATTTATATAAAACGATTTCCGAAGTGAAAATTAAAATGTTATATTACACTTATTGTAAAGTAACATTGTGGCTAATTCCCAATAAAAAACAGTGAGCTGCCATTTAAATCCATTTCGCCCAAATTTTATCCTAGAACATTGTTCAAATGCTAAAAAGACAACAGGTCAAATAAAACCAATAAGTTTGGCAACGTTGAAAGGGGAACCTTTTTTATTATTTCATCTCATTCATTTTCGGTGATATAAAAGGAGGACCTAATATAACTCTCTATATTTAAACAGGTGTTTCTCACTCCATCTCGCGTAAGGTCCATACCGACCATAAACTTTTACCTATACTGTATGTGAGGCGGTGAAAGGTAAAGTGGTGTAAGTTACTTTTTTTATACAATAGAGATAAGTCACGACAAACTTGACAGTCAAACAAAATCTCTGAAGTAGTAGAGGGAATAGTGGTGCAAGTCAGACTTACACCACTATTCCATAATTCCTAAGGCAGTTATTTAGTATTTTGCGGTTATGATTTTTGAATACAATGTACTTAACCATTTTTTGCCCAAATTAAGATTTTTCAAAAAAAAAAACAAATTTATTTTACATATATCGATTTAATAAGATAGCTTAAGCACAATTTGAGATTCTGTCAGGAGATAACGATTTCTGTTGCTATAAAAAAAATGCTAAAAATCAAAAAGCTTTTATTATTTTTTATAAATGATTACTCTTCACAAAGTAGGAAGGCCGTGGTACGTCGCAAAACAGTTTTTATTTGAATTACAACACAAATATGCACCACAAAATGAACACTTTGATTGAGGTCTAGACTCTATTGCAAGTGAGCTACAATATTCACATCTTCCCCTATTGGTGGTAAAAACAGGCCAGTGTTTTCCCAAATTTCCCAATCTGACGTCATCCAACGCGCTGTAATTATATTTCCCCCTTTTGTTAGGTGTAGATGACTCCAAACTTCGGGAGCCTCGCTTCTTTGCTTCAGTGGCATATGTTAAAAGTCCCATAGCAACCGATCTTCTTGCCTCCAGCTGGCTTATTTTTTCGAATAATTCATTGCATATAATATATGACAAAGGCAATGTCCAACATGCCCCAGAATAAACGGTGCCACCATTTACGTGATTTTCTATCTACACAGTATGAATTACATAGTTGGTCGGCAAGATCAACGCCGCCCATATTTTTGTTGTAGTCTTTCACAACGCTGGGGCATGTTTAAACTCGAACCATCTCTTTGTTTTCTGGAAACATGTTTTACTTCTGACCCATGAAAGTTAGTTGCAATGTTAACTCTCTGTTATCAATCCACACAAAATAACCAATGTTAGTATTAGAATAGCTATAATCAAAATCTCCGCGTTGCAATTCTTCACATGCTAATGTATTTTCTAGTTTTAGTCTTTCGAGTAATTTTACGCTCGTAAAGAAATTATCAAAATAAATAATTCTTCCTTGATTCCAGTACATCTTGGTTAATGATAGGCTAGTGTTTCTCCTAAACGATAGTCCTCGAATCCGATCTGCAATTTTTCGTTTTTGCCTTGATATAAGTCAAACTGTAACCTAAAACCATTTTGGTCTGCAATAGACCACAATTTGTAGCCCCTTTTGATGGGCTTTTTCGGATTATATTGTTTCAAGCTACATCGTCCTTTAAAAATACTTTTATCCACACTAAGTTTTCTTGTGCCCTGACAATATGTAGTAAATTGTCTGTTTAGAGTATCTAATATCGGTCGAATTTTAAGTGTCTTATCTTTATTGTCGTTGGAAATTTGCTGGTTATCGTTGACTTGTAGATTTGCTAATATCATCTCGAAACGATTCCTTGGCATGGTTTTCGAAACAAGAGGCACATGTAAGTCTTGTGAAGTATTCCAGTAGATTTTCCACGAGGGAAGTTGATGGTACCCCATTAGAAAGTTCAGCCCGATAAAGACTAGTAATTCACTGGCTTTAAAATCACCAATAATGATTACATATTTATCATTTGGGATCTTGTTTATTACAGTCTGAAGGTGTTCCTAGAACTTTTCCCTTGTGGTGTTATCTCTTTTGCTCTCTGGTGCATAGATTGCTATCACATTCAGAGGCTTAACATCCATTTACCTTTTACACTTATTATTCTTTCTGTATTTTCTTTTTATTCTATAGCCCCTTGACACCTCGCATGAACTTGTACGTTAAACCGTTTGGACGCTACATACCTAATGTCCCTTTGGCAACCCACTTATTAGCACCCCTTTGCCTATGTTAGACGCATCGCCTCCCCCTTGCATTTTTCCATTATACATCCTTGTTTGGGCGCCACATACCTCTTGCCCATCTTGCAATCAACCCCTGAAGGAAGTCTCAATAAATTACTTTTTATTTACAAAATAACTTTCGACGACGAGTTTCTGATAACTGCTAAGCTTCTTCTTCTTTAAGTTCCATCTTCTATCGAAGGTTGGAAATCATCATGGCTATGCGGACTCTGTTGACTGCCGCTCTAAAAAGTTCTGCACTACTGCATTCAAATCATTCCCTTAAGTTCTTAAGCCAGGATATTCTTCGTCTTCCCACATTTCGCTTTCCTCGGATTTTGCCCTGCATAATAAGTTGTAATAATGCGTATTTTTGTCCTCTCATCACATGTCCTAAGTACTCAAGTTTTCGTCTTTTAATAGTTAATATTATTTCCGCCTCATTTCCTATCCTTCTAGTTACTTCCATGTTTGACATTCTTTGAATCCATGATATTCGTAGGATTCTTCTGTAACACCAAAATTCAAAGGCGGCCAACTTATTCAGATGAACTTGTTTTAGTGTCCAAGCTTCCAGACCATAAAGAAGAGTAGAGAACACGTAACATCGAAGCATTCTCAGGCGTAGTTCTAACCTTATATCCCGACAACAAAGAAACTTTTCAAGTTTAATAAATGATGTACGTGCTATTTCAATACGTGTCTTAATTTCTTTGGTTTGGTCTACATCTGATGTTATACATGTTCCTAAGTATTTATAGTTATTAACACTCTCAATTGCAGTATCTTCAATAGTCAATTGGATATTTGCATGTGCAGATTTAGTCATGATCATGCATTTAGTTTTCTTTAAATTTATCTTCAGTCCGTACTCATGACAGCGTTCATTAAGGCGTTGCATTACGTTCTGTAAATCATTGTTGTTATCCGTAACTATTACTGAATCGTCTGCAAAACGTAAGTTATTCAAAACTTCTCCATTGATAGATATACCTTCTATTGAGTCTGAGAGCGCTTCTTGAAATACCGCTTCACTGTAGACATTGAAAAGTAGTGGGGACAGCACGCAACCCTGGCGGACTCCTCTCTGTATTTTGATATTTTCGGTGTACTGGCTGTCAACTCTTACCTTGGCAGTTTGATTCCAATATAAATTAGATATAATTTTCAGATCACGACTGTCAATATTTTTGCTTTTTAATATATCTACAAGCTTTTTATGTTGAACTTTATCAAATGCCTTTTCAAAGTCTACAAAACATAAGTACATATCCTGATTCATGTCCATGCATCTCTGAGCCAGCACATTCAAGCCGAACAAAGCATCTCTTGTACTCATACCATTTCTAAAGCCAAATTGTGTGTCACTAATCTCATATTCAAGAGTTTTAACAATTCTGCTGTGAATTATTTTCAAAAATGTTTTAAGTGTGTGACTCATTAAAGCTATTGTTCTGTGGTCTGAGCAAGTTGTTGAACTTGGTTTTTTGGGAATTGCTACAAAGGTTAATTGCAGCCATTGTCTGGGGATTGTGGCAGTCTGATATATTAGATTAAAGAGTTCAACCATTACATCAATAACATCTTCATCGATGAGTTTTAATAATTCGATGGGCACCTCATCTGGTCCAGTAGCTTTACCTTCTTTTGTGTTTTTGATGGCATAGATGACTTCTTCTCTTAATATTGGTGGTCCAGTATCCTCGGTGATTTCTAATGACAGTTCTTCTCTTTCATCATTAATAGTTGTTGAATGTAATTGGTCCAGTGACATAATCTCTCCTTCATATCAGTAATAATATCCCCTTTATCATTTTTAAGGATATTCGTTTTTGTACGCTTTCTAGAACCTGTCATTTCTTTGATTTTTTTGTGTAAATTAAAGCTATCGTACTTTTTATCCAGATCTTCTATTTCCTTGCATCTATCGGAGAGCCACCTCTCTTTTGCCTCTCGAATTTTCTTTCTGATGTTTCTCTGAATTTCTTTGTATTTATTCAGGTCTTTTGCTTTATGTTTTCTTCGTTCTTCCATGATTTCAAGAATTTCTACTGTCATCCAAGGTTTTGTTTTTTCTTTAAGTTGAGGGTTTCTTTTCCAACTGACACAAGGGCATGTTGAATTTTTCCCCATTTTTGGTCAATAGTTAGAGTTTCTGCATTATCTTCTTTGACTTTCCTTAAGCTCTCGTTTATTGTAAATTTGGTTTCCACATGTGTTATCTTGTTTGAGACGTTAAGCAACTGCTAAGCATAAAATACTAAATTAGGTGCCCAACTAGAGAGAAAATTATGCGCCCTTTAAAATAATGTGCGACTTGACCTCCCTTAATATTTAAAATTATAATACGAACATTTATCTTTGCGAGAACCGTGAGGGCTAAATATATTCACTGAAAATCTCTCTATTGAATTGTTTATTCATATCGGATTATTAATCTTTTAAGGATATCCAACTTATAAAGAGAAAGTCAAAAAGCGTCCCGGTGGAAGGGCCGAAGTGATATACAACTACGTTCAACGCCCCTTCATCCACATGTCGTGGGAGAAAGAAGAAGCCAAGAGCCGACACGTCGATTTCCAGTGCGTTAAATCTAAAAGCGTCACGAATCTTGCAGAAGCCACCGCAGACCCGGCTTTAGAGCTGGATTCCCGAGGGAATCCCATAGTTTCGTCGATGATGGCAGCTATCCCTCCGATGCCGGCAGACCATGGCGACGTACCGCTGATGCCGGAAAACGAAGAAGGTGCCGTCGGGGGTCTACCCGATATCGATAACGTTAACAATTTGCCGCCTGACGAGCCGAATTTGTAAAGGAGTCGAAAGGTTTTATTTATAGGATTGTTATCTAGTTGCTGAGTTATATTATTTATCTTTAAGTCGCAAATTTCAGTGTAAATTTTTAGTAAAACTCGATAATACACTTTATAGTTCAAGAATGCTTACTGGTCCTTTTGAATACATTTAAAAAATTTTGGTTTCTTCTCCAGAAAGGTTTGCAATATAACAGGTTAATACTTTTCCAGCACTATGAAGTTAGCAACTACTGAACTATGTATCTTCTATTCAGTGTTGGACGTACGTCTTTGCACCGAAATTGTAAATAAAACAACTATTTGTGGACTGTATTTTGTAATATGTAAACCATACACTCCTTTAATCTATGAAAACAACTCAGAGACAGAACCAGTCAAGCTTGCCGCTAGTAGCCATCGTTTGGGCGCAGGCAGAGCCATCCTTGGACATTACACATAAAATTGCAGGAAACATGTTTGGAGCAGTTTGGGATTTTATATATCACTTGTGGGCGTAATTATTTTAAATGGGGTATTGGATATCAAATATTATTTGCCCTTCTTCACTTCAGGTCTCATACTTCCAGATTTTTCGTTTTAATGCTGTATTTGATATGTCAGTAGATTTTCTTTCCATACATTTACAGGTTGCTTTGAATGTCATGTGTCATGCCACTAGTGAGCTCTGTGTCCGATATATTCATTGACTTGAGACTTTCTCCTAATGAATTATCAATATTTAACCATTATTTGCATATTTACTAAAAAGTTACATTTGATTTTGCGACTTCTATTTTAAATTAGCGAATTGTATATTGTTTTGGATATGTTTTATAAAACTGGTGGTTTCTTGACTAGTCAATTTTATGTATTGAGTTTTAATTCAAAGAAATATTTAAATACTTGATAACAATAGGAGCAAGATATCGGAAATGAGGGTCTTTTGGAATACCATGATCAACATATCTGGATCAGTTAAGGAACTCTGGTTTCGGACCAGTTGGATCTTAATTCAAACTCGGGTAGTCTTTTTTCTTTAAGATAAATAAAGTGCCAACAAGTCTTCATCTTTCAAGAATGTATAAATAAAATCTTGATTGAAAACTTTTTTGACCTTAACACCCATAATTTTTGAGCAACCTGCTTTTTGTGTTGTATAGTTTAAAATTTCTATACGGTATATGATAAAATTAATGAAAATCACAATCATGTTTTTATTTACAGTAGTTTACTTGACATATGATAAGTGCAGTAATGTAGGTTTTACTAGAGTAGATTAGCTATGTTTGTAGGACTATCGGAATAGGGAAATCAATGTGTTAGGGAGAGAAGTACATTTTAGGCAACTAAGTCTGAGAAAGATGCATGTTGACGTCGCAAATTACGTCAAGGGAATCTACATTATTGACTAACATAGTTCTGATATTATCCTAGTCGGCGTCAGTAATTTGTCATTTTTAATTTACAAATTATTTTTGTAGTTCTGCTATATTCCATCAGTCGCCACCATTAATTCTCAATTTTTAATTTACAATTTGGCATAGAAAAACATAATATGCGACATTTATTTGACCTTTACGTGACATTTTTGTGACATTTGACGTTTGACATAAAACGTGACATTTGACATATAACGTGGAGCAGTTTTACGCGTGTCATTTAAGTTATAAGTATTCTATTGGGTATCGCTGTTAGTTGCTTAAGTAGTATAAACGTAGCTAATCTACTTACTAGTCAAATGGAATTAGTTTATATGTCTCTCTTTTCTTTGAAGCTTCTTGTGCAGCCTTTTCTGCGATTAGTCACTTGTAGAGTTTCTCGATGAAGTGACCAATAGTAGTTTCCCGATCCAGCAGCCCTGATAACGTTTTCTATCAATTTAATATCCTGGTGAAAATGCTCACCCTGCCACTAGCGTCTCCCAAACTTTCCTGGAATTAATCAAGATGACTGTTCAAAAAGTGAACCCTCAGGCTCTTTACTCTTCTTTAGCTACAGTAGTATCATATTCTGGGTCTTTTGCATTTATTAAGATTTTTGTAACAATTTAGTTGAATGATACCCATGCATTTTTCTCATTTATGGTCATTGTGGTTTTAAAGTTAACATCATTTTTCGAAAGTCGTGTCCTTTACGACGCCTTTACTTTAGTTTAGCTTTTGAAAGGTTTGGAAACTTGTGGCAGAGATACTTAAAACAAAGTCCATCTTTAGGCAATGCCTACAGACTGTTTCATGAGGCCTAATTCGTATGTATAGCTGCTAGGAGAATGTTTTTAGGATCTAGATCTAAGGTTTTTGTGGAGAATGTTCATCTTGTCGGTTTTAAAGACTTCCTCATAAGACAATTCTTTGTGCACCAATATCGATCCCTAACTCTACTGCCTCTTTCACACAAGAAACATGAAAATTTGGTGAAACCACCTTGCTGACTAAGAAGCATCCATGTTGCTTTTAAATCGCAACATATCTGACCATGAGCAGAATTGCAAATTTTATTCAACCCTATGTCTACGTTTTCAAAGCTCCCTTTCATATGTAAACAACTTTTAAACTAGCTTTGGATGAATCAATAAACAGTTTTCAGTCTTCTTTTTTGTATTTTCTACACCGAACTCGTTCGTCAGCCACTAAATCACCTTCTTGTTAAAAAAATGTTGAAAACTGCTCATTTCTCTTCCTATACACATATATGCTAGTTCCAACAGCCAACAAGTTCTTTTCTTTTACACTAGAACCAAACAACTCAGCTTTTTCTTTTGTTAACCCAAGATCCCTAACCAAGTCGTTAAGATCGATCTGCGTAACAGTTTAGGCTCAAAGAGCGATGGAGAGACAAATGTTGGGTATATCACTTAAAGATAGAAAACGTATCCAGTGGATCAGAACCAGAACAAAGACGGTAGACGCGATAGAACAAGCGGCAAAACTGAAATGGAAATGGGCTAGATACAATGAACGTCTCCAAGACGGACGATGGAACAATGCCATCGGAAAGTGGCGTCCATACAATGCAAAGAGATCAAGAGGCAGACCACAGATGAGGTGGAAAGATGACATCAGGAAACAAGGAGGTCCCACATGGCAGAGAACAGCTCAAGATAGGTAAAGATGGAGAGAACTGGGGGAGACCTATATCCAACAATGGAAGGATAGAGAATAGGTTCAAAAATAAATAAATAAATATATATATATATATATATATATATATATATATATATATATATATATATATATATATATATATATATATATAAGGGTAGCTTATTACCTTCTTGTTTTTCGAGTTATTGCCACTAATATTAATACTACAAAAGTAGCAATCATCAGTGTGGTTTCTAGGCTCCCTCCATACCATTGGAACAGCAAACTTGAATGCCTTTTCCTCCTTTTTTGATTATTTTCCAAGATCTTGATCACCAAGATCCTGATCACCAAGTTTAGTTCCAAAATATGATAAATGAGTTTTACATTACACACTTTTTCACAAAATGTGTAATGTTCCTTTGGTGTTTTTTAATAACAAACTCATCACAAATATGATAAAAACTGCCAGCAGAGTTTTCACAACCACGATTAGACATTTTACTGAGCACATGTACTAAAAAAGTAAGGTTAGGTTGACAGTGAACAAAACATCAGCTGTGAATAAATAGTAAATATGGCTCAGCAGTGTTGCCAACTCTTCCAAGTTATTTTCCAATTCCATTTAAACTATACTTCATTTAATTTACATACCGATGCACGTCATTATCTACGTCAGAGATCGAAGTTGACATAGTTGCCAAAGTATAAAAAAAATCCTAACTCCATTTTAAATCAAATAGATCAAATAATTATTGCAAAAATATTACCTATCTCTTTACAACGACTATTTAAATTCGTACGTGAAGTGTAAATGTGAAGAAATGGTAGGTGATACAGCTTAATAAATGTCATGGTTGGATTTAGCACCTAGAATAATTTGTTTTAAGTAGAAAATTTTTTTCATCGTTGGCCTGTGTAATTTTTGAAATCTATTTCACTTATATTTTCATATTTTTAGTTTTGAACCACCAGTTTTATAAATAAAATCTTAATTATTAAACAGGTGTATACGTTTTGTTATTAGTTGTTTGGGTATAGACCATCATATAAAACTTTCCGACATCCTTTTCGGCATATAAATCTATTTAAAGAATGATATTTATTGTAAACGAAATATATCGACATTTTATAAATTTTTGGTGTATATAAGGGCACAAAATAATTGTTAAGTGTGCATTTTGGAGTTTTCGACTTTTGTAAAATACTTCCCAAAATATTCTTTCTTCTAGTACCTCTCGGTCACTATATGTGCGATAAATGTTTGTTTTCGATCATTTCATTCCAAGCTAGTGTTTCTTCACCGTAAAATCTGTTGTATGTATAGAAATTATTTGCCATTGTTTTCATGAAATACCAACTTGTATTTTTCCGCCTTTATGAGAGACCCTGTATATTTGAAAATGCAGCTTATCACCATTAAATTCATCAGTAGTATATTTCATTCAATCTTCCGATATCTACTGCTAAATACAGATATCTCTCAACATTTTTTTACTTTATTTCTACACACACTCTACATTATGTTTACTGTATAAAGGTTAAATTCAACTGTCACTTGTCGAGAATGCTCGTTACTGCGCATATAGGAAGCGTTTTCGAATAGAAATGTCAAAACAGTTTGCAATATTTGACAAACTATACCCCTATATTTCCTAAGTGTCGCCAACAAAACAGGTGGGACATTATATAGATTAGTAAGATTTATTTTCCACAGTCCTATAACATATAATCTTAAAAATATACATTTGGGAAGTATTCTTTGTTCCTTTGCGCATTGTCACAGTTTCCTGTGTCCAGAAATTCAGCATCAAAACCCTTGAGACTGAGATTTTAAAATTTTTGTCCATTGTTGCTCATTCGTGTGTTAATTTATTAATTTTTCCGTAGCCGGGGACTTATTCCCTTTTTTACACATTTTTCATGTCGTGAAAATATGTTAAGAATGTGCTGTTACACATCAGATAAATACGTTGATTTTTTACTTAAAACGATCTATAAACACAATTGAATTGTTAACATCTATTGCATGTTACTGATGTTTATTAAAAATCAGAGTATTATAAGATATAAGTAGAAGAGCTGCAATCAAAATATTTACGATTTAGGTCAGGTTAGGTTTTAAAAAATTAAGGTTAAGAAGTTTTTATACACGTCATCCAATTTGAGGTTCACATTTTTGGACAATGGACAAAATTATTAAATAATGGACCACATTGTTCTATTAAATAATCTAGAAGTCGAACTCCCTATGATCTTATTAGATAGATAGAATTGAAGCGGAAAAAATAAGAGAAGCAAGAATTTGAAAATTAAGCCGTACAGTTTATCACTTTTTCTTAAAAATGACACTTGTACTTGTAATCCATTATCGTCTGATGTCTTGAGAACTTTAACAACATAAAATATATTGTTTTCAAGTTTCATTAATACAAAACTATCAATGGAAATTTCTGTTTTCCAACTGTAAATTTTCACATTCATCCCAAGAAGAATCATCATAATTGATTAGTTCTTAACTCTCCTTAGATGAAGAGTTATCACTTCGTTTTTTTTTTCTTTCTGAGAAGTCATTTTTTTGGTTGCTTCTTGTAGTTTTAACTGATCCAGTCAAGTGTGTTAGTTAAAATTACACTCTTTTTAATTTTCCTTGTCTTCACACCTTTTCTTTTCTGCTTTTGGAAAATATTTAAACTCTTGAGGGGAGATGAACGATCTTTAATTCGCAGATACCATTGACTTAGAGTTTTGAGACATTATCG